ACGACCCGCGCGACCCCCGCCCCCACCGGTGGCCCCATCACGAACCCCCCTGTGACGTCGGCCCCCACAACCACTGCTGCCGCTGGCGACCAGTGCAAGGGCAACAAGAACGTGTGCTACTGGCCGTTGACGGGCCAAACCTTGCCCTACTCGCAGGCCGACTGCAAGTTGTTTGCGTCGTTCATCTGGTGCCCTTAAAATCGCATTCGTTGTGTATGTTAGTCGAATAACCTTGAATTGAAGATTCGATGTGAGTTGTGAATCAATCGATTCCATGTGAGTTGTGCAGTAGAGCATACTATAGTAGTTTGGAACATTCTCCTGTGAGTTAATTGTGCTGGCTCAAATAATATGTTGCACAATGAACTACTACATTCATGTGCACCGGTACAGTAGCCATACCGGCGCTGTGGTCATCTGCAGTGTATGTACTTGTGCATTTGGCAGCAAACTGTGCAGCTAGTCGCTCAATTACTGCTTGTTCCTCAACATCTAACACATACTAGTATGTACCCACTACAAACCCAAGTATCACTTGGAGTGATTACGTATACTGAAATACTACGTAGTACTTATTTTTAATTTGTTCATCTGGTGCGTTACTTATCAATTCTGAGGAAAGATCAGAAACTCTGTCATTTCGGAAAAATGCTTTTCTTTGAATTGAAGGAACATACCAATAGGTCCCCAAGTCAAAAACGCCAGTACTTACAATAGGCCTCCGAATCAAGTAGTGATTTCCCGCTTAACTGTAAATAGTAAGATATATCGAATTAAACGGTGGGAATATTGGAAATAGAAGAGTTCTTGATCAAATCCCAATAACCATCGCAATGACTGACTATTAAGAGAATAGATCGATATATCGCAAATAGATTGAGTTCATCGGTAAATGACTCCCAATATACAGGTCTTTCAATAACTACTCACTGTCAGTTATAGAAGGATATATGAGTCGCTGTGTGGGTCTATTTTCTATTGCCCCCCCACCAATTTTTCCGCGCCATTGCGAGTTAGCCCCACTTCACAAACACATCACAATCGAATTTATCATAAGGAAGGTTCTCTAGGTTAACTCTATGCTTGAGCGCTTGCACGTGCAAAGTGTCTCTGACGAGCTGTACCAGGACGAGAGTCATGACGACTACGGCGAAGTCGCCGCCGAGGAGAACGACACGCTGACCTACAGCAATCCGGTGATTGATATGGTCATCGAGGACAGCGGCGTCGAGGGGTTCCGTTCGCCCACCAACTTCACTGCCGACGAGTTCGAGACGATCTGGAGTGTCGACGAGTTATCTCCTTAAGCTCGATGGAACGACGACAGGGGACGGAAGCCAACATCCACGCCAAAGGATGCACTCTTCATGGTCCTGGTCATCTTAAAGTACTACCAAACCTGGCAGAAGCATGCACTCGTCTTTGACCTTAAACTCACGAGAAGATGATATTGCGAGTTATCGACGTTATCTCTCCGATCTTCACCAGTGGTTACAGTAGCTGTCGCTAACCCCAGGGATACGCTTAACCTCTAGTATGAGTTGAGGCGGTCAGTACTAAAAATATGCCTCATCTAACTACCGTGGTACAGTTTATTAGTTTGAACGGTTTTCAGTCTTGGCTGAACGGTAATCAGATTTGTTGAACGTTTTTCAATGTTTGTCCTTCGAAATACTCCGGAGTAAGTACAAAGTCTTCAACGAAATAACGTGGTTTACTGGCAGTAACATAGTAGTACAGTACATATTTCCTGTATATCTTACTCCAACACTGAAAATGGCATTATATTAGGACACCAGTTCAATTTTCAATACATTTCCCAATTCGGCCTTATGTTTGTGAAGTATACTGCATCAGATTGAAATATCTTTGTTTTTGTATGCAACTCCAAAACAGCATATAGACAACAAAAAAAATATTGTATTTTTTTTATGGTGGTGGTGATTACTTACTGTTAGAGCCTGTTCGGGGAAAATACCGAGACGAAAAACCATGATGGAACGCAATCTGATTGGTGGATTGAAACTGCAATTACCGAGACGCAACCGGAATCCGGATGTGTCTTGGTTGAATTTCGTCTGGGTTTTGCGATATCGAACAGAGACTCCCCGTGTCGGTTTGTGGGCAGCATGGGCCAACCACGACGCATGCGGATTCCGGATACAAGGCACTCACAATTGAATTGACGGGATGAGTCGAAAAGCGAGTCAACGCGGAGATGAACCTGTGGTGGGCCACCTTGGGACCCCAGAAAGTAGAGCACAACAGCCACCTTTTTTTCGTATGAGTGGGATATGGTGTAATTGTCGAGACTGCATTGCGCCATGTCCACCCGCAGTACTCACATAGCTCGACAAAGGTCTCTTGATTACAACGTAAATTGTCCATAAATCATCGGCAATACACTGGATCGACTAAGAATGCTTGAAAATCAATATCTGTCACGATCAGCAAATTGTACTTCTGCGTGGGGGTCACAGATGAAATGGCCATGCACACAGCTGCCGCAGCAATGCTTCCAGCCATTGCAGCATAAACGTCTCGACGGCCACATGTACCCCCATCAGAAGACCTGCCACACACAAGAGTGGCACAATGTAAACAGCCACACACACCACCCGGAGGACAACCACATAGGTCACCAAGAGGACATCCACACACGTCACTCAGAGAACAGCCACATATCACCCGGAGGACAGGTACGAGCTCGACTATTGCCACAATGTGGGTAGCCACACAGCACACGGAATGCTGCCACACGTACCGTTGCCATCGCCAACTGGACAGCCACACGTAATCACCATGACAAAACCACGAATAAACCAGAACTCTTCCCTGGACACGAAATGGTCATCCGTACAATGACACTGCAAAAAATCCGGTTATGATTTCGTCCTGGTTGAATTTTTAGTCTCGGTATTTTCCCCGAACAGGCTCTAAGAGCCTGTCGAGCGAATTCACCATTGCCTCCATGTGAGCTTCCTCGCCTAGGCGTTCATGCAAATGAGTTAATGCGCTCTCGTAGCGAGAAGCATCGCACTCGACGTTATACACATTACAGTCAGGAATTGATGCATCCTTCCTCATATGAGGGAGCTTGTATTCATTGCTTCCATGAATTTCAATGGACTTTTCCATGACCTTTTGAAGTGTTATAAACGTCTTTGCAAGTGTGTCTGCCGGTAACTCATAAAACGCGCTTTCTACAGCATCAATCAGCTCCTCGATTGAACGAGTCGCCTTTTGATACTGAAGACTTTGAATAGAATTAAAAAATCCTAAGTCTAGTACGTTGAAATCTGGGCTATTTGGCGGTTGATTGACTACTACAATCCCACGAACGCCTTGCGCATGAAGCAGCTCTGTCGTAACGCACTTGTGTGGGCTCGCGTTGTCTTGTTGAATCGACACGTAGCCACGGTCGCGACAACCGGGGAATTTCGACAAAATTGCAGAAACAACTTTGTTAACGACAGCATCAAAGTACACTTTTGGATCGATAGTCACTGGCACTGTCACAGGGGTACCTTTGGGTCGATTCTTGCTACTTCGCAGAGCAAGAGCAGCACGTATGAACGGCCTAACGCCCACCTTGCCATCCCACATCTTCTTGGCATGATGATCATATCGGGGGCGGGCCACTGCGACAAGAAACATGATCTTTGTGTTAAAACCTTTCGACTTGACAGAGATGGCTGCAACCTGTCGTACACGTAGTACTTTCGTTTAACCTTTGTCAAATAGTACCACTTTCATCGACATGAACGAAATCGTTCATATTGGCAAAAAGATGGCGTCCATTCAGCAAAGGTCGAACAAAGAAAACGCATATATCAGACGCGCCTTGACGTTGTCTTGAGTGATAAATGGCTTCAAGTAGCTAGATCTCGCACGCAATCTTGGTGTCGACTTCTTGTGGCCCAAAATGGTCGTAGCAGGTAGCTCACACGCTGCTGAGAGAGATCTGACAGTCTGCGGGGAGAAGTGGGGAACTTGGCGTATCGCTTGTTCGATTTCCGCCGCAGAACGTTTAGCCTTTCGTCCAGAATTGCCTAAAAGCGTACTACAGGCGGCGACGGAATTTAAGGGGCAGCGAAGTTTTTGTTGTTGCACACATTAAATTAACCAATCAAATCTAACTACAAAGAATACTGCACTATGATTGGATAAAAATTACGTAAGCGGGAAAACATTTTAAATTCGCGCGCTGCCACGCGCTCTTGGACCATGCTCCACTCATTTTCGAATGCGACCTCCACCGCGCAGCAAGAAAAGTCCTCAGAAGAAGCCGCGGAGGCGCTACAACCACGCGAAGAAGCGGGAGATGATCCTCGAGATGGAATCGGCCTCTACACGCCAGCTGGAGGCTGAGACGGGGATCCCCAACAGCAACCTTGCAAGGTGGAAGCAACAAGCGGACGCCATCCTCAACTTTGAGGGCAACATGAAACACCTCCACGGAGCAGGGCGTCCCAACTGCATTCCCGACTCCGACGGCCTCGAAATCTTCATGCACAAGCGCCGCGACGCCGAGAAGGCCTTGACATGCACGCACTTGGTCAACTTCCTCAAGCGCAACAACAAGGACTGGCTCGAGCGATACCTGGCGAACAAGACAAGCGGCTACAAGTCCCTGCTCAAGCTCCTACAGCGGTTCTGCAGCGACCACGGCTTCTCACGACAGAAGCCATCGAAGGCCAAGCGAACTCAAGTCGAACTGGACGCGACGCGTACTGCATTTGCGAAAGAGTTCAACTTGGCCTTCGATGGCTTCAGTCGTGACGCCATCATCAA